AAAAAAAAAACTGATAAGAGAGAATTTTATACCATAAACTATATGGATAAATCAAAAGAGCAAAAAAGAGTTTAAGCCATTGACTCAACCACAGTTTCACTAACAACTACTAGAAATCCCGAGCATTACTAACTAAACCACCCTACTCTTCAGCTTCATCCATTTAAAAACTAATCTGGGTATCTCTCAAAATCATAAAAAATTTGAAAATTTCCACGAAAACAGTGGAAAATTTGATAAACCCTAACAAAAAAACCCCTTAACCTAACAGTAATAAAAACCCTCCATATGAAAAATCACAAGAAGCATGAAGGAAAAAGAAATTAAAAGAAGAAATCTTCATAGCATAAACTATAGAGATAACATAAAAAGGCAAAGAATTTATGTTTACCTTTGATAGATCTCGGCAAGAAAAATCAAAAGGGGTTTGAGGGTTTGGGGTTTTGAAAGAGAGAAAGAAAAACAAAGTACTTTCCTCTCTTTCTTTCTTTTCAATATTTTTGGTTGGTTTTTGGGCAAAAGACCAAAGAGAGTTGGGGTATTCCTTTGAGAGAGATCCAAAGACAATAGAATAGAAACTAATAAGGCCCGAACATAGTGGCTTCTTGTCCTTTTTACTTTTCAGTGATTGGCCATCACTCCCAGCATAAAGAAAAAACATATACTACTCCTAGTTCTGTAGTACCATTTTTTTGTTTTCGGATTCCTGAGGCTAAGGGTTCCACTAAACAGTTTTTGTCCATGTACGTGGCATCTTGCCATTGGATTTTCAGGGGATTTTCGTGACAGTCACTTTAGGTTCATGTACTAAACAGTATATTTCTCTTCCTAAGATTTTATGTCAACTTATCAATATTATAATATTAATAGAAAACTGATGAGACTGTTGAATTAGTATAATATAGGTACAGATAAATTAGTGCATCCCATTCATTTACATTTAATTTAACATAAATGACTATATTTTTTCATATTAAAAGTTATGGATAAACTATTAAATTACCATAAATATGGATATCACAAAAAATATATACTTTTAATATAAGAAAAACAAAAAAAACAAAATGCCCACCACCTAAAATGTCCGACCCATTCCTCACAATTTCGGAAATCTCACCTATATTCGCATGTGCCAACCAATGGTAAAACCTGCAATATAGTACATGCTTTGAATTATTTAAGAAAATTTAAATAATTTTATTTTTTTATTATATTTAATTCAATTTTTATATTTTTATTTAGAATATAATAAATCAATTAATTAACTATAGTTATTCAATTAAGCATCCCTTCATTTGTAAAAAGAAAAATATATAGGTAATTCTAATTTTATTTCTCCTCATTTTGTCCTTTTTCCGAACTTGTACCAAGTAACAACACACCACTGCATCTTGACTGGTCAGTCAAATTGGGTTCTGTTTAGAAGAGGAAAAGAAACAGTTTCTGTGTCTGAAAAATCTTAATAGGATTTAGTTAGCTTGAGATCTTTTGGTAATGTATATATATCTATGTACTGTGGAAAGAGAAGAATAATCGAAAAGCTAATATATTCCCATTTGACATCAACAAATATTGACCTATACTCTACACAGTTTCCTCAGTTGTCACACCTCACCTGGAAATTTGGGTTTAGATTCAGTACTCGGCAACATGAAAGACTAAAGTTGTAAACCCAAGATCCTCACCTGCTTTGGAAAACATGTCTCTTATCTTTTGCCGGCAAAGAATAACTACGTATTTAGGTGTAGGAGTAGAGTTAGATTTTAAAATTTAATATTTAATAAGATAAAATTATAAATATTTAAAATAAAATAAGAAAAAATTTATAAATTTTTGAAACTTTAAAGGGCACGGCCCTTACTAATCCCGTCTCCCTCCACTTGTGTACGTATTGTTAAAATCTATATGTGAAATTTGTTTTATGATAATCATGACATTCCCTTTTACGTGTAAGTATTACGAGATTTATCATGTGACATGAATTAATGAAAATAATCAATGAAAGGAGACAATGTATATTCTAAAATCATTTTAAATTTTTAAAATTTTTATCCAATTTAAAGTTAATTAATAATAAATCAAAAAATATTTATCATATTTATATACTTAAAATGATTTTAATTTAATTTTTTTTATCATCATTTTAATATTCCA